AATTACTATGCACTTAATGCAGACATATTATTAAAATTTGGGCTATAATGGTTGTATTGATGTATATCAACTTGAAATGCTCCCAACGATGCCACTACAGCATGTAAAAATATAATATAAGCGGACTTGGTTCTATTGTAGGTCTTAAAGGGTTAAAGACCAAAATCTAACAATTGTGAGCTTTAACTGTTTTAAATTTGGCCAATGTACTGGCTTATCTTCTTTTCCAACAATGATTTCATTTTGAAATTTTTGAGCATATTTTTTTGATCTTATGATCACCTTGCAAATAATTTGTTTCACTGTGTTTCTGTATTGTTTGCGTATGTTTGTATGTAAGATGGGATAAACACATGTTTCTGATTACTTGTAAAAAGAATTATGACTTCATTTTTTGTACCTTTATGTTTTGGATCTGTACAAACCTGTCATCAGCCTTCAGTTATCAGCTCTTCTGTTCACATCAGTCTGCCTGCTTTCAACATCCTGCGATTTGGTCCTCACACTCCACTACACTACGGTTAACATAAGGTTTATAACTATGTGAATCAGGTCACATTACAAAGCAAAAACAATGTAACAAGTACAACATGATTTATACTTTAAAACACCAATAATATGGATGGACCTGCTTTTAAATGCTTTTAAATTCACTCAAAGATGTTTTTAACAAAGGTGACATAAAGATAAAGAACACATAAATTTAAGCTCCAGAAATTAGAGATAAAGTCAAATGTAAGACAGAGTAAATACTTGGTGCTGTTCTCTCCTCTTCTTTAGTTGGTGGTTGCTTGTTTTCTTCAGCCAGCTCTTTCATCCGGTCTCCTACTCTCTCTCTCTCTCTCTCTCTCTCTCCTTTAATGTGACATCAGCAGCAGTTTTGTTTGGTTTAAATAATAAAATAGTTTGTGAGAGTTCATCATTCACAATCAGCTCAGCAGACAAAAACAGTTAAAAGCTGGTTATAAAAACAGGGAACTATTGATGGCTGAACGTCACATTTCAGGAACACTGAAAACTCCTCAGAGAAAAGTCCTTCAGATTAGACTAAAGATTTGCTCAAGAACAGTGTTTAGGGTTTCCATAGAAACAGCTGCATCCAAGCCTCATGTCACCAAGCGCAATGTCAAGCATCGGATGCAGAGTTGTAAAGCACCTGGTCAACCTTTTAGTTCCAATGAGAAAAGCTCTTATCACTTCAGCACACTGAGACGTTTTGGACAATTTCCTGCTCCCTTTCCTGTTCCAACATCAGTGGTCATTTGCAATTTTTAACCTGCAGAAATGTTAATTATAATGCTGTCAACCGTAATACGGGAACATCAGATCATGCATGTAAAAGAACAATAACATTGGGAGGGGGAGGAAGGATAATTTCACTTAGATGTTAGGATTGCATATTTGGTGATGTTTGTGTAAGTTTCCTCAAGATTGCCCACCTGTTAAGGAGCAGATACAGACATACACACATGTATACTGTCGTGGAATTTGTAATTAAAAAGTCTGCAGACATGGTTAGCCATAATCAAAACCTTTATTACCATGCCCATGGGAGAGTAAACAGAGAGTTAACACAGACATGACATGTGAGCTCTGAGCTCTCGAGGTACAGCAGGGCCCCGTTTATCTCAAAACAACAACACGATTTCCTGCTCTGCTGTTTTTACCCCAGCGTGTTCAAATTAGAAAGTTAGTTCCTCTTTTTATAGGTCAAGTGCAGGGCCCTATTTCAGGAAGCCGGTTTAGTGCAAACTCTGAGTAAGTATACCCTGAGTTAATGAAAACTCTGGGTTTTCGCTTTCACAAAGCGAGTTTAGATTAATTCTGAGTGAGTTACTATGACGACACACTCCGTGAAGCTAACCTGCTCCCTAGCAGGTTTACTTCAACTAACCCTGACCTTCTCCGCCTCTTTGTCGGAAACCTGACTGTAGGAAGTGTCAGACATGGCGTGCCCCTTCCTTGAAGAGCCAGTAGATGTTGAAGCCCAAATTCTCCGCAGAGCTCTCCGCCGGGAGAGAGTGATTAGAGCGCGTTCGGACATTTTATCATTTCCTGATGATTTCCTGTGTGAACGTTACCGTTTTTCAGCACAATCTATAATTTATTTGAATAACATCCTCAGGCCTAATATTGCTCATGTGACACATCGCGGACATCCTCTCAGTTCTGTACATATTATTTGTATTGCACTTCGGTTTTTTGCAAACGGGAGCTTTCTGTATAATATTGGTGACGCTGAGCACGTTTCCAAGGCTACCGTCTGTCGGGCAGTCAGGAATGTTACAGTTGCACTGAAACGTCTCCTGTACTCGTTTGTGGTGTTCCCCGGTCATAGACCCACAAGATTTATCAAAGAGGGATTGCCACAAAATTGCAGGTAGCAGGATGAACAAAACTTAATTCATGATGTGGTGATACTTGAACTACTACTTAAATTTTACATTTATTCTCACGGTTCCCAGGCGTGATTGGCTGTAAGATGGCACTCACATTCCAATCATTGCTCCTTCAGTAAATGAAGGAGACTATGTGAACAGGAAGTCTTTCCACAGCATTAATGTACAGGTACATAGTTCCCTGTAGCATTTCAAACTAACAAATTATTTCATTATAGTAATGGATGCTAATTTGTGTTCTCTGCACTGTGAAGATCATATGTGATGCTGCCAACATTATCACAAATGTGGAAGCCAAGTGGCCAGGCTCTGTGAGTGGTGGTGGTGGAGGACCCCCACCTGTTTTTCGGGCCTCCGCTTTTTTTCTGTTGGCTATAACGGGTCACATTTGAGCATACAGAGTAAGCAAATATGTACTTGTAATGTGCTCAGATAATTTCAATAAGTGCTTACAGAAGAAATTAATGTAGCCTCTAACTGCAATTGATTTACATCGGGACAAACAGACCAAGCACTATGGCTCATAATACAATTACACCTCTACCTGTTTGGACTATATTTTTATATTTCATTTTTACTTGCTGCCAGGAACGTTTGGGGCCTGTTGGGTTGCACCTGCGCTCACATCACATCACAAAATAAAATGTATAAAATAAAAAATATAATAAAATAACGTGTTAAATGGGTGGAAATCCCTAGATCAATGTTTAAATTAACACTCACGCATTGACTCTGTCGGCTATGTTTTGCCATGCATGCTCCCTTTCTTTTGCAGCTGAGGCTGTGTTACTTTTTTCCCGCAAAATTTGCATGTTATCGGCATATGCTGCCATCAGAATTTCGGCGTCAAGCGCTGTAAAATACATTGACCGCGCCTTCTTTCCCTCCATCTCCATGGTGACTCGCTTAATCTGTGCTCCACTAATCAGGGCTTTATGTATCCTCGCTTAACTTGGGGTTAACGCAACTCCGCGTTGATTGAACTACTTGTTATCAGCCTTTCTGAAACCGAATATTCCGAGTTGGACAGTTCGGGGTTACTCAACTCTGAGTATCGTTTTTCACTCTGAGTTTTCTAAACCAGCTTCCTGAAATAGGGCCCAGGTCTTCACGTTTTGGCCCACGGGACTGAGGCGTGACCTTTCCATCACACCCTATCTTAACTCTGCACCATCTTGCACATCATTACAGGCTCCCACCCCTGGCCCACGCACCTGTGTTCAATCTCCATATCTGACACTGATCTCCACTCATCCTGAAGCCATACTTAAGACAGCAGCACTTTGCTACTCATCGCTGGATCGTTGAGCAAAAGATTTCTGAGACAATGAACAAAAAATTGATATAGACAAACACTGTTCCCCGGTGCAGAACACGGTCAGTGTTTAAAGTAGTGTAAACTGGTTTCTTTGACATTAATGTGTTGATGCAGGTAAATAAACACATAGGTGACAGTTTCTGTTTATTGTGGTTTGGAAACATCCAGTGAAAATCTACAAATGTGTTTAGTCATGGATCAGATTCAGAGTAGCCCATTATAGAACTCACGAGTCTGTTGAACACACGAACCAGCTGATTTTGTATTCAACCAGTAATAATGACGACTTCTCTTTCTCATTCATTGGAAAACAGAGTAGGACCTGAAAAAAGCAAGAAGAACAGACTCAATAACAAACTTGTATCCACATCGTGAAAACACTTCTGGATAAAACATTAACAATAATGATTTGGTGAAAATCCCAGTTTCAGCGAATGGACTCTGCTTGCTCTGAAAAACCTGTCTCAAATGGTGTAAAATCCCCAGGTTTGTCAAAGAGATGGAGATCCCTGAGGCCTCAAGCATCTGATGCTTTCTAAATACGGGACTTAATATCTAATCCAAGGATAGCTGATAAAGTACAGAGTTCAGTAATATAGACATGCAATTTTGCTAATTGGTAATTTTTCTTCGAACCTGGTATTAGAATTAACAAATGCAATAAAAGCACAGAATCAGGCCATTTAGATGGAGAGCCAATCCAGACCTCTTGTACAGGGATAGCTGGGATCTATCAAATTGGAACACAGCAGTGAAATTAGACTGTGGTATAAACATGGACTTAAACTTGATTTAAAACTAAATGAAAGTGAATTTAGAACACAAATAATCTACTAACAAGACTGATATGAAGTGCTGTTAACTGGTCTGTGAGTGTGAGTCCTGGTCTGACCTCGGGCTTTCCACCTGTAGAAAATATATCCAACCAGAACTAAGATCAGACCCAGGGTCAGTATGGAGGCTCCGGTGGCAGTCAGTGTCGTTGATTCAGATGTTGATTTTTCCGAGGATGGCTCTGAGTCAGACAGGTGACAGACAGAGGCCAATAGTAGAACAGACAGGTGAGTAGTCAGATGCATATTTGTGTGTACAGACAGACATATATTTACCCCAGTCAGTGATCAGAGGTTCACTCAGGCTGGCGTGCTCCACCACACAGGAGATCTTCTCCCCAGACCTTCAAGACAAACATCACTGATTCACAGACCGCTCACAGAACTGGATCTGAATATAGACCTGGACCCGAATTCGGCTTTGATGTGGACTCACCTGGGTTTGTACTCCAGGTGGGAGTGGGTCTGGTAGTACCATTCACCATTTGGCATCACTTCAGTGGAAGTGACATCAGAGTTGACTTCCTGACAACCTCTGAGCCAGCTCACTTTGATCTTATTGGGAAAGAAGTCGTAGACGCTGCAGACCAACATGGCAAGATGTTGACCAGAAAGCGGAGTCTTGGACTTGATTCTTACACTGGGCTGAACTAAAAACAACACAGATGTTATATTACCATTGTGGCAATAATATGTGTGATGTTTTCTTTTTCAAGTGCTTTATTAACAGTAAGATTTACAGTGGCAGAAATACACAATTATTTCAGTTTCACAATTATCTGATACCAAATCACAGGGTTCGTACAGGTGCTTGAAATCCTTGACAATGCTTGAATTTTAATGTTGTCTTTTCAAGGTTTGAAAAGTGCTTGAATTTCAGATGTGGTGCTTAAAAGTGCTTGAAAGTGTAACTGTATTTCATTCACCACAAATAACTATCTGATTGAATAGTTTTCTTATCAGATAGAGAAATAAAATGAGTCGCAAAATGTAAAAGCAAAATTTTCGCC